TGTTCAGTTTTATTTTGGTTTTAGAAAATAAACGTGATTGCTCTCCTCACAAATCAACTCTTTCTTGTTTTTGTTTCGTGCTCTCTGTGCCTTGCCCTGGACTTTTATGTCACTTCCTGTCTCCCGTGGTGTTTGTAGTCAGTTTGTAGTCCGTGTGTTCATTGGTTCCCCTTGATTAGTCTCCCCAGGTGTGTCTTATCTTGTTAAGCTTGTTATTCCCCTGTGTGTATATATAGCCCTAGTTGTTCTTTAGTTCCTTGTGAGTTGTTGAATGTAATGGTTGTCTGTTTGCCAGTCATTCTGTTCTTTGTTCCCTTTTGTTTTTGGCTTATTGTTTGTTCTAGTTTTTCCATTAAATGCCTGCACATAGATCCTTGCCTCTGCCTGTTTCCCGCAGCTTCTACACAACATTACAGTTTTTCACTGGCATGTCTCTGTGACTAGTGCATCTTTGAGCCTATATTTAAAATCAGATACTCTAAGACTTTTACTCAAGTAGTTTTGGAATTGGTGACTTGTAACGTGTAGTGGAGTAATTTTCACTGTAAGGTATCTGTACTTTTACTCAAGTATGGTTTTTAGGGACTCTTTACACCTCTGCTGAATGGACATGTAGGTTTCCATCTGAACATGGATTCAGATAATCAGAATTCTACTTTCGCCCCCTAGAGGTGTTTAGGATGATCTGCAGGTGTTTGAAAGTAGTAACCAAACTATTTTAACATAACACCTTTCAAATAGTGAGCAACAAAAAAGGATACATGAAAAAGAAGCGAATGAGGAAATGAGGGATATTAAAAAACGCCCAAATTAATAAATAAAACAAATCCCTACAACTGACAACATTGCTATTTTGCTCTTTGAAATGCCTTGAAATTAGTTTTACAGGAAATGCAACTTTATTGTTGTTGTTGTTACTATATTTACTACTAATAAACAACTATTTTCTTCTCTTCTTTCCCCAGAGCAAATAGCCTACTTATTTATTTGCTCTGGGGAAAGAAGATTTTATTTAGAAAGAAAGAAAGAAAGAAAGAAAGAAGATATTATTTAGATATTATTTAGAATATATTTATTTAGAAAGAAGATTATTTATTATTTATTTATCACACGTCATCACTGAACGACACACGATTCACGCAATTCGCTTTTTCGATATTGTCGGTCAAGTTCACAACACCGGAATCGAATTCGAATCCGGCCTTCTTTACTCCGGGTAGTGTAAACACATATGACTCTCTGGAAACTTGACGGCAATATTCCGGTATCAACGCCCAGCGTGAAAGTGAACGTAAAGTGAAGTGAGAGGTCAAGTCAAGTGCTTAGAGAGGGAACATCACGTCTGTGGGCGTGGGAGCTCCATCAGTCTGCGTCAGTGAGGTGTGCTGCACATTTGGACAAAGTTCTGCCTAAAACTAATTAATTTGTTACAATTACAGTGTAATTTGTTGTATATGGTTGGCTCAGTATGATAAAGCTACACTGTAAAAAATGACCGTGAATTTAACGGTAAAAGACTGTAAAAATGCTACATTAAAAACCTGTTAAATGGTTAACTGTAAATTCCCCTACTATATAGGGTGAAAAACTGTATTGGACATTACATGTATTGGTCATAAATTTGGAAGTGAAAGATACCGTATAATTTACAGTGAATAACCGTAAATTGACATTCAATTCCCTGCGTTACATTTCAAATTTGATGTTTTTTTGTTGAAATAACTATGTTTCTTCTTAGTTTTTTCTTATCAGTTCTGTATATTAGGGTTGTGTGTTACACCTAATGTTGTTAAATGAATGTTTATTGCATTATTTCAGTTTCATGTGTGTTAGCATTATGGTGTTTGGTGTTTGTGTGAATGACACTGTGCACCTTCTATATATGATATTATTTAAAAGCTGCTTGTGATGGGCTTTGGTTCATCATGTGACTTTCTCATCACCACCTGCATTTGGTGGTTATCAGTGTATTACAAAGGTACAAAACAGATTTCAGTACTTCGATAGGTTGGTATATTAACATTACATCAGTTAATGAAATTACGCTATTTAACTGTAAATTTAAGTTAAAACTGTAAAACATTGCTACTGTATTTTTTACAGTAAAATTCCAGCAACCACAGCTGCCGTTTTTTACAGTAAATTTTACGGATTTTTTTTACAGTGTAGTGTAAATACCAGTATTCATATTACAGGCTACAATCTAAACTTTGGACAATCCTGTATGAATTTGTTTCATCCAAAGACTCGTGCTTAAATTCTTGAAATTAGACAAATACACTGTGTCTATATATAATTAAATAAATAATTGTGACTTTCATAATCACAATTCTGATTTTATATCTCGCTATCTCGTCATAGCTCCATTTTGTCACCTTTGTGTTCTGGAACTGAACAACTCTGAAGAACCTGCTAAATGTTGAAATTCTAATAGCAGAAGAGTATTTTGACTTTCTGAAATCACTGAACTGTTCTTTACCTCTGTGAGGTTTCTTACGTGCCCAATTTCCTCTCCTTCTAAGCACAGACTTTATGTCGTACTGAAAGTCCATTTTAAAATACCCTTGCATTGCTCTTCTTCTACCTTCAGTTCAAGGAAACATCTTTTTTTTTCAATTGACTTTCATGCCTAAAAATAGCAACCTGGCCTGTTCTCATTGCAATCAGCATGTTCTTTATAATTGTCCACATCCCCTCTTATAACCACATACCTTATCTCCCACCACTCTCACACTCTAGCTCTGTTTCACAACCTAGTGTACCTAGATATTGTTGTGGATTTTTCTTGGGTGCGGCCAATGAAGTGGAGGAGCAGAGTTCCAGATGTCAAAATAAGACTTTATTTAACAAAGAAATAAAGCCGGGAAGACAGTCACAGCATTCCAAATCATTCCAAAGTCTTTGTTTGTCAGCTCATATTATTATACCCCTTGTTCTCTCCAAATTTGGTCATTTTCAGTTTTTTCTTTGTTCCGGTTACTTTTTATTGGTTATAGATACCTGATTTGCCACAATTGTTTCCAACTCTTTTGGCCTTGTTTTCTAATTGGTTGGTAGTGTGGTCATACTAGATGTGTGTCAAATTTATCTACTTGCTTTTGTTTTGCCACCTTCCATTGGTTGGTAATGTGGTCATACGAGATGTGTGCGTCACATCCATCCACCTGTTCCTGATAATATTAGATTATTTCATGTTTACGTCTACTGTCTACTGAAAG